CATGGAAGAGTTTGCATTAAAATTTCGCATATGGTAAGACACTGACCGAGACGAAAGTAAACCACATCTTTGGTGGAACTTCGACCAGATAAACTGAAACTGAACTATTCCAAGCTTAAGGTGTTTACCGTACACTGGCTGACCAACATGACCGGCAAGGTTGAAAACTAATTATCAACAAATAAACGTCACTTAACCAACCGAGCAGACAACCACACGCACGCACACCAGCGAGCGAGCGAGCGCATTGGCCATCTTCGAGAATGAACTGAGGAGAATATTTCGACCAAATAATTCAGCCCAATAAATGACGGTAGAACTCAACGAACATAATAAAACAAGAGAACCGGGTCTCACAGCGGATGACGAGTAGGAGTAAGGCAGCAAGATTCGAAATCACTCAGTCACGGATGAGACAGATTGAGGGAGAGCGCACGCGAGGAAGGTTCAATACTCGACGTCCACCATTGTATTCATGCAGGCATGCAAAAGCGAGCAAACAAACACACACGCACGCACACACGCATTAATATACGCACAAAAACATAAAGGTGTAGATAGCGACCGCAACCAACGACACAAGTGTCCGCATTGTCTAAACATAAGCATATACGAAGTTCACCGTGTCGGTAGCGACATCAACCACAAACAGCAAGTGAAAAGCGCTTCAGAGATACACGGAGTGAGACCGAGAGAAAGACAATGGCAGCAACAAATGACCAAGCGACCAGTATACCACAACACGGATCCAACTATAGTCCCATAACTGGTCTTGTTTACAGCACTCGATCCTTGTTGCAGGGATAACTGGATAACTGGCGGTTCGATCGATACTCGCTCGATGGGTGAATCAACTTGACAGGGACCAGTCATTCGGGATGAAAATCACCTTCGGTCGGGACTTGGAACAAAGTGACTATGTGATCCGGTTATGAATTGTGTTCGGAATTGAGGGCATGGTTTGGGAACACACATTAAACTATGTTCTCGTTGTTCGCTTGATAGGAACAATCGATTTTAAGAAAGTACTGATTATGATAAAAATGTTTGCGGTGGGAAAAGTGAATTACATTTACGTTAACTCCTATTCCGATTACTATGACAATGTTAATGGGCAAGAAGTAACAGAACTTACAGGTTTTTTTCTTATCCCAGACAAACTTGACACAGATGCATTTAGAGTGATCGGTATATATAGGTGCGCTTCCCATGAGGGGTTTTCATTCAATGGAACAGCTTCGCACTTACCACTTATGCTGGGATCCTTAAATCTGCGGTCACGTTTACGCTGAATGCTTTGTACAAAATACCGATTTCTGTGTAGTATGCTACTAAGTCACTAAGTGACTGACGCAAAATGATACAGTTGAGTCATGCGTGTCGCGAACAATTCGATTTCTGTCGGTACTATCAGATCGTGCACCGGATAAGCATGGGTTTAGCGTGAATTGTACATGGGTCAACAGACACTACGAGCCCCAAGGGAGATAGACCCTCATTTAGGTGCACTTTTGTTAAACTTCAGTTCATGTGTTTTCACCCTTGTGTTTAGTGAGCTAAACCATACGACTGGAACTTTCCCGTCCTTAACTAATGTGACATGTGATCAAGGGCCAAACAGTTTATGGAGTACATTGATCTCGAACTGGGGATATTTCAATTCGTCAGCTGTCCCGCGCATGTTGCTCTATCAAACAAAACAGCGAGACCGGATTGATCGCTAGCTGGAGGACATGGAAAAGTTCCCGAGCCAAATATCTAACACGACCGTAAGGCCAATATGAAGAGGACAGAACGGTGAAAAAATGTTCGTGAATTCGTTGTTAGGGGAATTTTTTCTTAGATGGCTACCGATAAAGTGAGTGGTATGGCTGGAGATTGGTTTGGTTTTCATAGTAAATCATGCAAAAGCCAAACGCATCATGTGGTATTTGGTGATGAGTGTAAGAAGAGATAAACCCAAGAATTGCATTAACCTACCGTCAGTTTATGGAAAGGGGTACTGGGGGTTTCCCCTAGCGATTAAAACTGTGGACCGGGAACCGATCGTGTTCCTACAGACCAGTCGCTTTCCTTCGATCGACACTAATCATGCAACTCACGCTCGGGCTCAACGGCTATGCTTGCAAGCGGAAACGGCCACATTCTAACAACCATTAGGCAGGTGAGCTAAATCAGGGTCACTGGGTCCTACGGAAAACGGTGAATCGTAGCTCGCACTCATGTATATGAACCACGTCCAGGATACAGAGCGGAAGAGATCAGATTCTTCACCCCTCATCTATTCAAACTAAAAGGCATCACTACAAAAAACCCTAGCGAGTTGTAGGCCACACCTTTTCATGTAAAGGTTAAATATGTTGGAGACGTCACATATACAAACTCCTCACAAAACCGCCTCATCCCCTAGTAGGAAATAACCGAAGTAAAGTAAGTTTATGCGAGGGAAGCCGTTATTTAGGTCTAAGGACGAACGATACAAGACCTCAAGGGAGGAGACGTGATATTGAATCCAAGCGTCTCAAATAGCCACTGCTGAGGAAGTCCTACTCACTGCTTTCTCATGGTGGAGGTGTTTTTCCCACCAAAGTGAGGACGAAAAGCCATTAACATGTTGAAGTTTGAGTGGCAGTTCACCTAGGGGAGTTGGATAAACATCCTGATTCTAAACCCACAAAGAAGTGTGCGAACCACACCTTCCTGGTTGTGGTAGCTCGACTGGGTATCGAGGTGTATTGGGCACCTTGGACGTCTGCCCCCGATCAATGGGCCTAAGATCTGAAGAACTGGATACCGGACCCCAGTGGATTATGGTTTCCATACACCACCCACTACCTTGCGGGTCGGGCTCTGGCTAACCTGAGGATCCGGGTTTTGAAATCCCTCGGAAAATTCACCTGCTTTGGTCTGGGCAACCTAGCAGTATCGTGTCCTCGAACAAATCAAGGATTATTTTATTTTTTATAAAGATTGTTGTACCGTGATTTGTTTGACACGCCGGCTAAACTCCGGCGTGGGTGATATATATATATAATGTCTAAGTCGCATGGCACGAGTCTGGTGGGGTAACCGGCGTAGAGGTTTAGGAAACCGCGGTCGCCCAGTGGAGCAAGTGGTCGACCTCCATAGATTACACTGGTTGGAACATGCGTTACGCATGTTACCAAATGTTTTGTCACGGCAAGCTACGTCTGCTGAGGCAGGTAGTGGGTGGACTAAAACCAAGACATGAGGGTATGAAAACCCTAACCAGGAGTCTGGGTCACATAGGTCCTGTTAGGCTCCCTAGATGGGGACCTCGGGATGATCGCAACCGATGACCAGATGTCTCAAACAGTGGCGCTCATGCATCTACTCATTATGCTTGTAACTTCAGTTTATGTAAATTCGCTATCTTTCGCTTGAATTTGCTCTCAATATTCTTAACTGATCCTCAAATTCACTTTCTACTTTCAAATTTAACTCACAGATACTTTTGAGTGGTGATGTAAGATAAACGGTACCGAGTTTGATTGACTATCCTTTCGATTCATCTCCAGACACAATTCTCAGTTCGTCCAATCAATCATACATTCGGAAGCACTAGATCCGAGTTGTGCTCTTGTTAAAGCTTATCAGTGATGTATATCCATCGTCCGAAATCACTAATTCAAGTTCATTTATGTGTCATTTTCAATGATAGACAGTTGGTTCATTTTGTGGCCCGACTGCAACGAAAAGATGCACGATCGACTAACCGTCAACCCTATTTGAAAGTCTCAACTAAATCTGATATTTTATGATCACAAGTATCTGTGATTTGAATATATATTAAAATTCAGTTTTGTAGCTTTCACCGAGGCAAGTCAACTCAAATTCCCCTGGAAGACCTGAATTGATGGGAGACTTTCGAAAAAGTTAATAGATGGTCAATATTCGGGCGAAAATGAACCATCTCGATGAACACAACACGTAAACAAACTTGAACGAACAATTCTGGCCATCACAGGTGAGATCCGGTTGGTAAAATGGTAAAACACATGTCTTCCATATGAGGGTTCCGGAGTTCGAATCACTAACGGGGCGTTGGATGTGCAACACTGATGAGCTCTAGCGAGAGCGAAACTTCACAATGTGTAATCGATTGGATGCACTGAGGATTATGTGTGAAGTCCGAAGGGTGCACAGTCCATGTAACTTTTCATTCCAATTGCAAATCTGTGCAACTGGTGGTCTAAACAATCACGCTGATCAACTCACTCCCTATGTGACGGTTCCTATTGAAACTTGTTCCCGGTGCTCTGCCTCATTGGTCCAAAAAAGAGTGTACAAGTTTTGCAACCGGAGGCACTCTCAAACCACGAGCTGCAAACAACCGAGCGGGGGAGCGCAAGTCTCCCGATAGCCTGTTTCTACTCAGATTCGGTATTTTTCAACCGATACATAAAACGTCGCCAATATAAATCCAGGCATGCTGTACAAATATCTGTACAAGCACGTGCGAATAAACGGTGTGTGGTGTGCAATATAGCCGTGTACAAACTGTATATACGGACTCGAGGACTGCCGGCCCAGTGTATACGGTATCGGGTAGCCCAAAGTCCGGTGGCTCCAGCAAACGGACACATTAAACATGTCCACGGTCAGAGCGAGAGAAAAAAATAGGTTGTAGTGGTGGGGGTAGTTAATACACAAACACACACACACACACAAACACTGAGACTGATACGTTTCTCACAAGAACGATACCACCAGCATAGGTGAGTACCCGTGTGTAGCAGTCTGTTCATATTCGTAAAAACGCCACACACTTGAACATGAACACAAATAATTTGTGGTCAAATCGAAGTGCTGAGAATTGCGTCGGTCACAATACTCGGTCTTCGGCCACAGGAGCATGCTTCTGATGTGTGTGTGTGTGTGTGTGTGCGCGCGCGCATGTGTAACCAATGGATACATTTACTCATTCATGCATCCATCGTCTTATTCACCTGACACCCCAATGTCGAACACAGATGGTTTTAAACACCATAGAAAATCTGAGGTAACGGAAGTAAAACGAGAGAAGACAGGGCATAATTTACCTCAAACTCCACAAACACATGCATCGCTCCTGGCTGTGGAACTAGCTGCGGTGCCATTAGAGTCAACATGGGAAACGGTTGACCTCGTTTCAATTGACTGATGTTGTGCGGGAGCAGCCGTAAAAGTTGTACACGAATCATTGGCTGACCACCAGACTCCTCGGGTTCTCGTTTCAATTCATCTTCGCCCGGGGGTTCTTTCCAGGTGAAATCATAGTAGTCCGACTGTGTGGTATCAACTTCCTCATTCCACGGACTTGAAGTCGGCCTTGAATCACTACTTTCAGCAATATGTTCCAACAGCAATTCGGAAATAACGACCCGACTAGGATAGAAAATATGAGAAACGGAGGGACGAAGAGTTGAGGCATGATATCCCTTACCAGCAAATATCGTTATCATTGATAAAGTTATGATTATTTTAATTTGATAGATGGAGAAAATAGATCATCAGAAACCGATCGTACTAGCAACTCGCAGTAAAATATCACTGGTTTTCGTACAGTGTTGAGAAAATAGTCATTCAGTTCCCGATTTCGAATCAACTGATAGAGTGGCAAACAACGGAGCTGGTAACAACATAATACATATCACTTCAGACCACAGACAGACAGCCAGTTTTGAATAGTACAATTAGATTAGGGTCCGGAATAACAAACGCTCATATCCAATTTATCACACACAACAACTGGAATGGAATGGAAGGGGGTGGGGAGGCGCGAGGAGAAATGGACCTCATAAGTCTGGAGCAGCGACTGTCGCGGATTATCGATAATATAAGCCTTGGGGAGTTGAAGTGATGAATCACATGACGTGTCCCTGGAGGATAGATGCGATGTTGAGTGGTCGGAGAGTTGTTGAACTTACTGGACTTTTGGAGGAATTTTCAATGCGAGGTGCAGCAAACAGTAAATCAACATTCGAACCACTGGTGTTAGAATCAGTCAGTTCTGACGCCAAGAGGACAGAAACGGATGCCGTCATTGCTATGCTTAAATGGAAGGAGTAGACCATATGATATAACCCCAAAGCACTCTTTCATGAGGGTAGCGAGGGAAGGGGACAACCATAGTCTATTCTGGAGCGAAGTCATTAACGAACCAGACAAATCCCAGACACATCGCTCTCTGTCGTAATATTCCTGGGTATTACGTTAGATTTTACGGGCTTCCCTTCAGACTGTCTACCAAACCAATAAAGGTGCAACAGTCTTTATAATAAAGAAATGGGTCCGTGATTTGCTCAGGACAAACCAAGTGAATTGTTTGAGGAGATTGACAACCGGGGCCTTCGGCCAATCGAGACATGAACCGCAAGACAGCGAGGTAGTGTGCAAAAGCCGGCATCTACCGGGATCCAGTTTATCGGATCATACGCCCTTTGGATAGGGTCAAAGGTTCAAGGTGCCCAATCAACCGGTGATCACTACCAGAACCAGAAAGGTATGGGTGTGGTTTTTACACCTCTTCTTGAATCACGTTTTTTTGCCAACTCCCTCAGGTAAACTGTGGGTGACTCACCGATGCGGTTATGGTCCCGGATGTTGGCTTCCCGTGAAGACGGCCAGAAAGGCTTTCTCAACAGAAGCCATTTGAGGAGCTTAGCCGTACGGGAGTACTCCGCGAGGTGCAAGGGAAGGGTGACCGGCACAACGCAGTACTACCACCCACCCACTCCGATCATACTGGGGTTTACGTGGCTAATACTCAAAGTTGATGGATCAACTTCTGAAAGCAACTTCTACATGCATGCTTTTTGTCAGTTATTAAAATCTCGTGAACAAGAGCGGGAGGAAAGTAAGATTTATAGAGACACGCCGTCATCAGTGTACTGAAAACCGTTTTGGCAGTGATCGCATCGTTTGTGCATTGCTTTTCTGAATTAGTTTGGTGCATTCCTCAGAACCTTTTATGTACCGCATAGCTTCTGGATAAATCATCAGGTTTGGTTGAAAGCAGTTAGGGAATTTTGGAAGCAGAATCTTTCGCAGAACCGGAACAATTCATTGATTGGAGGCGAAGTGACCAACTTACTGTTTTCTAAGGAACGAGCACGTTCTGGTCTCTGGGACTGACAACTGTGGTTCACACCAGAAACCAAATAGTTCATTTGATTTTCCTTTGGTCATTGATTATTCATTTGTCCATCAAAACAACTATCATTCGTTCCGCCAAAATGACTCACACATGGCATCTCCCAGTTTAGCATGGCAACACGAAGTTAGAACGACTGAGTCCGAGATGACTCATTTAGTGATCATGTGACAGGCATGGTATTTGATCAAAATCGATGATAATAAGCCTTTTGAATGCGGCGCGAGATGACAGGCTGGGATACAGAACAATAGCCATTGAAGTGGGTGTGGAAACCAAGGTAATTTGTTATCCGACTGTGAAGATTGGCGATGATTGTGAGAAAACGATTAAAAACAAGACAGACATGTTTTTGTTCCGCATGAGGATAAACTGATGACTTTTTGTCCATTAGCATACACACATTCTGCACTAAGGATTTCAAGTTGCGGTTTGATATTAAAACGCACTGAAAAATGGTATCATCACCCCACCGGTGCAGGTCGCAGCGACAGGTCTACCTGAACCGGCGGGGGNAGACTCCATGACTGCAGGTTGTGTAAGGCACTCTATAATGATTTCGGTGTACACATTGACAATGATGCAGTACATGTTCACGATGCATTCGTTTTACTGCACGCTATAGTGGGGCAGACGATACAACAGAGAGATTTAATCAACAAGGGAAAAGTATGATGTAGCTATGGTAACGATAAGATTGACCCCCGGGGACTTGAAATGATAAGCTGCATTAGGTGTACGAGGAAAGTGGGGCCACAGTAGAGCTAGCTATAACCAAACGGGGGGAAGTGAGGCTCGAACAGACGTTGATAAAAAGACCTGTATACCTTGGTAACTATCACCATCGTCCAATAAATGGAAGAAGTGAATTCCTCACCCTGATGACTAACTCACGCGTCAGGTGTTCTGTCTCCCACACAGGAAGAGGTGGATTTTTCAGACGTCAGTGATACAGTACAAGTTCCATTAACCTTGTATAGAGAGATAGAGATGCATTGCATATTGGGAAGGTGCTTGCTTACCTCGATTCCATGTCACCGATACCGAGCGAGTGATTCCGCTGTCCAAGGACTGTTGTTGCATGTGACTTTATTTTTCGTGCGCGAACAACCGCACCGTATCGCGTGGATTCCACAGTCACTTTCCAAAGTCGGGCTTCCTCGGTGCGGATGGGACTTTTGAAACGATAGAGTAGTGTCGAACTCAGAAGCAATCTGTGAATATAAATCGGGACAGCAATGATGTAACAGGAATCTGACTTTACTATTAACTCAAAAATGATCAGGTGTGGATGTGTGAATTGTTTTTAGAAAAAAAGCATGCATGGAGTTTTAAAGAAAAAGCGGAACAATTCACCACAAACCACGATCTAGTCTGATCACAAACCGTGACATGTTTCCAGTAGATTCAAGGTCATTCGTCAACTCAGAAAAAGGTACAGATTTGTGAAACCTGATTGGTCCATAACGTATCCTCCAACTACAGACTGATGGATTTTTAAAATAGAAGATTTCACATACACACACACACATATATATATATATATAATGTTTGAAAATTCACTGGCTGCAAATACACTTTTGTGTTCAGCACGTCCGTTCCGGTTTTCTCCAGCAATAGCTGAAAGTCAGTGAAACTCTGAAGTTTTTGACAAAATTCCCACGATATTTGTAGGCGTGACAAGGGAGAATTCAGAAAATATGCGCAGTGATTAGTGGTGTTAAAAGATGGGATGTCACGTGCCTACATTCGGTGTCGAACAGGTGTTATAACCGGAAACCGGAAAAGATACAACACCATTTATTCATCCAGCCGGATGGAAGTACACAAAAGCATGTCGAGTGAGAAGTTGTACAGCAAATTCAACATTTCTCGAGTAATGAGACACATTGACAGGATTGGAAATAACAAGGCCTTGAACGTTTTCACCATCACCACCAAAAAAAAACAACGGTAACGGAACCGGAAGACATTGTATTATTTGATCACGTGATACTGTCAAATGCCAGCCAAATCAGACTTTGAAAATTTGTGTTATCCCAACTACATGCATCGACAATGTTCCGACGAACATAATTCAAATCCACGATAGGATGCAGCTGATCGTCAATGTTTGTTTTTTAATTGGAAAACATCTCAGTCAAGTGATCCTTACGTATGAGTATCTTTATAGCAGTAAATGTTTCTCAACGGACAGAAATACACTCTGATTGGTGTTCTCTCTATGGCATATCGGACGGATTCATAGACAAATGGGGGGTGGGGGCAGGACATTACCCGTCTCCCTTGGATAAATATATACATATTGACTCTTTGGTGAAAAAACTACAAACTGACAAATATCCGACGCGTGCGCGGAAACCAAGCGGTGGGGTGGGAATCCTGTCAAAAAAACACATTCGTTATTCAATTGCTCTACAGATTCCGTTTTTATAATTGTGATGTTTTCGGGAAATATGAAATACGTGATGGACAAAAATTCTAAGTGGGTACATTAGTCTATCTCTATTTTTGGAACTCTACTTCCCAAACGTATTTGGCTATTTTAGACAAACACTCAGCTCAGATCTAATGCTACAGAAGAGCAAGCGGATTACCGCCATAATTCTTTTAGCCGCAGATTGTGATTGTTCAAATCACCATCCAATCAAAAAATGCCTCATGCTCCCAAGGGATAAAATCTCAGCAATGCACGAACTTTTACAGTGGATATGTATAAAAAAAGAACAGAAAACAAATTCAATACCTTAGTAGATGATAAATATTGTATGATTGCCAAAGAGCCCCTACTGAAGTAATGAAACACCTTGTTTTGTAACACTTATTATTGAACGTGAATATTGTTCGATTCATCTGCACAGCCATCCAAAAACATGTGAAGATTATATTTTTTATTGAACACCTTAGTGTCATCATCATCATCATCATCATCATCATTGTACAGCGAGATCCAGTGAAGCGAACTTCACTGATCACTGCCAAGCTCGCAATGTACACAAATCAAGTGATAAAGCACACGATGGAGAGGGATGGGGCCTGATTGGACGGAAGCAAAAAAATTGAACCTCCATGGTCAACAAACAGAGTGGGTGGGTGTCTCGGGCAGTGGCTCGTCATCTCTCCCTTGCACCTCGCAAAATGCTCTCACAAGACCAAGCGTTTAATATAGCTTCGCTGAGGAAGCTCTACTCGCTGCCTTCTCGTGGCGGCGGTGTTTTCTCACCAAAGTGAGAGAACGAAAAGCCAGCATCAGAGCCGTAACCACGTCGGTGAATGACTGGCGGTTAACCTACGGGAGTTGACCAAAAACCCTGATGTCATACCAACAAAGGAGAGGGGCACGAACCAAAAACACCCATATGTTCCTGGTTGCGGCAGTGGTCACCGACTCAATTTGGAATCTGGGTGTATCGGGCACCTTGGACGTTTGGCCCCGTCCAAAGGGCGTATGATCCAATAAAATGGGCACCGGTACCCAACGGACTGCCGACTCTGAGCTCCGTACTGTTTTCTTGTCTGTCTTGATTTCTAGCCAATAAAGGCTTCGAGTGAGGGGCTCGAAGTTAGTTCCCTTCATCGATCAGGGCAACCGCGAAGTGACATGCCCACACAACCTATGAACACATCCTACAGAGTTTTACTTCATATTTTGTGGTACATTTGCCAATTCTATGTAATTGAGTTACATGCCACATATCTGCATCTGGAATTCTTAGTTGTGTGCTGGCGAATATCGAAGTGTGCTTCATTCGATTTCAACAGTACCATCATTCAATACAATCCTAGTGATTAAAGTAACTAGTGAAATCTGCTTTCATGTTAGAAAAAAATTCTCATCTACTCCATGAATGGTGTCGTTCAGAGAACCGTTTACTGGCTAGTGCGAGTTGTATTTTGTGAAATGTTGTTCAGACGAAACACAGTAGCAAACAAGGTCGTTTTCAGTGTTTCTTAATTATGCAAATACATTACAATATGTTTAACTAATTGGGGATAAAATTTTTATTCTGTAAAAAGGCTGAGTTTTGACTTCCGGTAGGAGTGTCATTCAGTGCTGGTGGTCAATCTGTTTAAATCGCTACAACCGGTGTGCTTTAGACTCTAGCGTCCGAGGTTCAAACCCACCACCACCACCCATCTTTCGTGGTAAGGAACCTTATTGTCTTCCAGCTCACTGCTACGCCTAACCTAGTGGGGGTTCTGTGATTCGTCACTCCAAGTCCGAAGGCTTAGGTTGTCGATTTCCAAGATTGAGCAGTAAGTACTCGTCACTATGGGGTCAAACCTTTCTGCTTCCCGTTACACAAAGGGTATGTAGTAAAAGGGGTTTCATCGGATGATTCTTTTCGATGCAAGGCAGTTCAGTGGAAAAAGAATTTCCACAAGTGTTCGAAAATTGCCTAGGAAAGTGCGTTCACCAAACACAGCCAAAATGTTAAGCACCACTGGAAGATTTTGAAAGAAATGCTTAGTAAGCACAACCGGGAACGCATATCAATCGAATCCACTAGGATTCGAACCAGGCCATGAGGGGATGTTAATCGGGACAATTGGGATAATCACTTTTGCTTCCCATCTGAACCGATCTCATGGGCTTGCTGCACGCCAATAATAAATAGTATAACGCTTATTTATTATTAATATATATATATATATTGTATATTTATATTATTGTCGTTGAAAGTAGCAAATCGTTGCGAACAACGATCGATTCCCTGAATCACTACGAGCTCAAAGTCCCATGATTGTCAACGAGATGATCGCGAATGCAATTTCTTGTGATGCATGAGTGTATTGCATTACATTTGTGTACTTTTTCAAGATGATAAAAGAAACCCATTTTTTGGAATTAGATCATTCGCACTCCTCAAATTATCTCACAAATTGTTTTAGACCTCGAAGCAAAGCATCGAAGCGAATGAGAATGTAACTGTACCAAATCGGTCTCTCTGAAGATATCAGACTCGTCAGTCGCAACCAACTACAGTGAGTGAGGAAAAGCACACAAGGTTCGAACCCCGCTACCTAACTTTCGTTGCAGGCGGCTTCGCTATCGTCCGGTTCAATACCATGCCTAACCTAGTGAGGTCTTATATGGTCCGCTACTTCAAATCCCTGAGCTTAGGTTTCCGATTTCCTTGGTGAACAACGGGCCTTCGTGAATAGAAGGATGGTTGCCCCGTCTGCTGTGTGTGATAAAAAATCAAAACAAAATGTCACAACGAAGGCAATCCACAGAAAGATATACATTACCATTTTTTCGGCACATAGACATTCGGGTATTTAGAATTTCCGCGGAGTGATTACATTAACTGTAATTGCAATGGGGTTTAGCCAATATTTTGAAGCCTGATAATTGCAAAAATTGATTTTTTTGGTGAAATTGGTTTTATTTCTTAACGATTCATTCCATTCATGCCAACGCTAACACCCCGGTTCCAGAGTTTGCACTCGAGGGGACTCAAGATAATCCCGTTTGAACTAGTGTATACGGCTTTCATAACTCTATCTAATACTCAGCACAATAGAAAACAGTCACACCACAACACTGACGACGCGATTGTCTAGATCTAACCGAATTTATCCTTTCACTCTCACTCACACAACGCTAAACTGAATTTCATTCACACGACCAGATCAGATCAGAAACCAGACGTATTGAAATTGATTTGGTCACGCACGAAGTTCAATTTTTGTTTGAGCATGCACCAAATTTCTTTTTCTCGAAGGCAACAACCACAGAAACTTGAAATTATGCCCCGAAAAAAATGGCCCAATGACCCGTTCGAGTTTAGCAATTTCCAACTTTCCCACAATTAGTTTTTCTAGCAACCTTTAATCACAGATAATTTCGTGAAAAACGCTACCAGACAAAACGAATGTGCGAAATTATTACAAAAGTGTTATTTTCACCTGGAAGCACAAATTCTCTCTAACAAAAACTGTGCAAGTTTGCATAGCATTTTCGACGGCATAATTTTCAGTGTTCTTTAACTGAGCACTAATACATGATGAAAAGTAGAAGAAAAGTTCGGATGACACACTGAGTGATCACGGATGGCAGTGATTCAAATCGCTGTAACTGGTGTGCTCTGGGCTAATGCCTGAGGTTCGAACCCTGCCACTACCACCACCTGTCTTTGGTAGCTTCGTTTTCCTCCGGCTCAACAGTACACCTATCGTACGGAGGCCTTAAGTAATACACTAGTTTAAGTCCCCAAGAAGTTGGCATTTCGCTTTCCATAACTGAACAAAAGGTTCTCGGATCAACGTTCCCTATTGTTTATCACAGTAAGATTACTGTGAATAGAAATAATAACAACAACAAAACACGAGAGTGGTTCCAAGCCAACGGTAACAATGCACAACCAAAGTAAATAGGTGCCTGAAACACAATGTCTCGTAACTCGATGATTAGGCTGATCCCAAGGTGCCCAATGCGACCTGCATGATCAGGTTCACTGGTGTAGGTTCCCAGCGCATCACACCAGGCCGTCTCGAGCTTAACAAAAAGGCTAATCCGACGATATGTACAACACACGGACCAATTAATAAAATCGACAGAGGTTAATCACTTGTGTTGACCGCGACCATATTACTCTTCGCAAATGGGCAACAAAACCAGGCATCTGGTCAACTAACAGGTTTTATTCCAGTAAGCAAAACTGAATGCCGATTTTTCTCACACTTGTTGTTGGCCAGACTCTGTGGAAATATTTATGCGAAAAGCCCCGGGCGGGATGCGAATTCACGAATGAATGCCATTTACACTGGTGAATAGCGCAGATTTATCCAGCTCAGCCATGAAGTCAAACCAATATCCCAATCTAGTCTGTGTAAAGTCACTTACATGCACAGCTGTGTTCGTGTTTCTACGAGTTGGTTGGTCAACCGATTAGGAAAACGGCAGATCATACTTGGAATTTAAAACCGTGAATCCGATCGAGGCTCTTTATTTATTCTACCTTTTCTTGCGTCATTTGCGATACACAAATCAACAGGAGTCAGTACATTGAAACATGCATTGCGCATTTGAGTTCTATACCAAATAGGTTGGATAAGGGCTGGGTCGGATTCGATTAGTCTCTGAGCGAACAAATCATCACTTCATAGGATTAGTTCGTTGATCGTGACGACCTTCTGCGGGAAACACAGTGATTGTGGACAAAAAACTGATGATTAGCAAGGAAAGATTAACCCCGAATGGGCTACAAGTTGGTGGATTTGCGCGAATGCACACAAAGGTCACTGTTCATAACGGCTCTGCGTGCCTGAAAGTATTTTAGGCGGGTCTTTCCACAAGCACGAGCGGTTTAAGTAACTTGCTCGATTTCCAATGTATTTCAGGGTAGGAATTTCTACTGTTTCTACTGTTTTTTTACCAATCCTGCCATCTCTGGTGTGTCAGGCTCTTATGTAGGTACGCTTATCCGGATCCGAATGAACGGCAGAACAAAATGTCCAAATCAATATGAGGTGAAAGCAGCAATAACTTTGCTCATAAACACATTTTTTTTGTGAGAGAGAGAGAGGGGACTTATAAAGAAGGAAAGGTTAACTGTATCCTCTACTCCCTCCCCTGATTGGGCTTCTAATCAGATGCGGTGCATCGAGCTGGCTAGCATTGGGATAGCCGATATCGGAGCGGTTGGTGAGTTATGGAACAGATAGGCATAACAATTTGAAAAATCACGGGGCGGAAAGAATGCGGATGATCGAAACGAATCACCCGGGATGAACATCTTATGCGCTCAACACTGAAGATGTGAATGAGAAAAAAAAAATTGACAGCCAATTGAATGAATGTCGTTTTGATGACAGATCGCCGAAACTGACAGTCACAAGAACCAGGGTGATTGTCCGACACGGAGTGGTTGGGGCGGGGAGCCGGAGTGGGTTGGAAGGGCTTATAATCAGAGGCTTGGCTAACCAGGTGGATTGATGATGCACACTATCGTGCGGGTAGGGAAAAACAGTTCCGCAATACTGTCTGAATGTTGGCAGACAATGACAGTCTGAACGTTTGTAGGACGAAAAAACTTTTTATGACAAATAAAAGAATGATTGACGAAACGTAGAGCCGTACAGAGAATTCAATTCCAAATCACAATAGCCATGTTTGGGTCAAAAAACGCCAGTGTTAATCATAGGTGAAAAAATAGTCAGAGCTGACTAAGACGTCTGCCGGGAAAAGTAACAATGAAACTACCAGAGTAAACGGGGTCAAACCAGCTGACAATGAACCGCATTCGGGACTAGGAAGTGGGGTATCTCCAAGGCGAAAAAAATAATCAACGCGGAACCGTCGACGCACATTTTAATCCCACATATTTCTATATTCTTCACAAGCACTACTGCACAGAAGAGAGACATAGCTTACCTTAATATGAACAGACTATACGGAGTTTGTTTCGAAAAACGGATGTTACCGTTTCTGGTCATTCCCGAAATGTTTTCTAATGAACTGCCGGAGTCCCGTCTACTATCCTCTTTTAGCGAGAATTTGACATCATAGAGGAAGGATGAGAAGTCAATCTCTGAGGTTATAGCTCGATTGATGAGCCTCCAACGGCTAACTTGCTTACGGAAATCGGTAGACATTGATGAGCCTAGCTATCTCTAGTGCAAGAATAGTAGCATCGTTGTTCTAGGCCGCAGGTTTCATGAACAGGTATACACAGACAATGCTGTCCTCTTGAGTGAAGACGTGGGTAAGTTGCAAGCTTCCTTGGATGGTTTTAATACTAGTGTAGCCGAGTTTGACGTACGTTTTTCACTGTCAAAGTTTATAATGCTGTTAAAGGATTCGGTTGGCTCAGCTTCACGCTAACTGGGGAAATAACAGAGACGGTAGACTAGATTTTGCTATTCGGTTGGTTTCATCCGGTGGACGAATTTCAGCAAGCATAAANCATAAAGAAGGCTCCGTTGACTTTGGCCAACTTGATACATCTACAACCCCCTTGCGACATTTATAGTTATGTGAATGTAGGCTGAAACAATTCATCCAGTGATGCTATTTGGTACAGGAACTTGGTCGCTGTGGGAGAAAGATAAAGACAAACAGTGTTCGAAAAATAATATCTACGCGCATTGTAGGAGTTCTGAGGTAACCAGACAAGCAACGGTGTGGTGAGATGAAGACTTAGGCACTCACAGTTGTCTACCGGAGCAAGTGCTTACCCTCCCGAGATTGCGTTGTTTGAGGCATATGTTACGCGCGTCACCAGAGAGGCTCCCTTAGTGTGCGATGTTTTCCGCAGCAGGTAGTGAAAGGAAGAAAATCAAGGGTGTTTGAGCTAAGACCTGTCATGAGGCCTTGAAAACATAAACCCGGAGACTAGGTCCCATAAGCCGTCTTTGGCTCATTGACTAGAAGCCTCGGGGTCAGTTTAATCGATGGTTAAAGAAACGAATATGGTCGTGTACCTTAGATAACAGAGCTCGTGCATCTAGGTAATTTCCAATTCTATATTTATTCCGCCAACTCTTTTCTAACCGCATTGTGGGTCCGGATGAGATCCTACGCTTAACCCTGACTTTGATAACAGTTCCGTTTAATCTGTGTCTATTTCTTTTTACTGCTTACATTCTATTTGTTCCACATCGTGATTTCATCACTGTACAGTAAAACGAGCTTCGCTGATCAAAGTGAGTCCCACAAGGGGTGCAAAGTTATAATGAGTACAAGTGGTTTCAATGGAGGAGAAAAGAAAATGAATCACAGTGATGAACACACTGGACACGGTATCATTAGGCATACACATCTCCTCAAGCATTCTGGTGTGATAATAACTGGGATCAAGAACATGACTGTGGTCGGTTCGCGGACATGTGCTCCAGCGTTTCCGCGTCATCTGTGGAGGGGAGGCTGATGAGCATAAAATTTTCTTATACATCCCGTTGTAAAGAGCAGCGGTTCCACAGAAGCCTAAGACATCAGAAGGGCCTATTTGCCACAACTTTACGGAGGCAACTAAGAGAGCGAAGAGATAAATGGACAACGTATTATATGTGGTGTGGATTGTGCGGAGTGGATGGGAGTTTCTTTGTTCATCAGCACCTTGAATGATT